ACAATTTGAAACCACATCAATTGAATAAATACCGGAATGATTGCGGTAACAAGCAGGAAAGCCTTTTAAACATGATTTAGGCGTGACTTTTGGAAACAACGGTGATAAAGGGCGAAGTCCCGTAGGCATAATTTAGGTATGATTTTTTCTTTTATTTATATTTGATATATTTTTATTTTAATATTTATTTTATTATTTCAATGAATTTATTATATATTAATTATATATATTAAATTTCAATATATATTATATATTTATAATTAATATTATTAATTAATATTTAATAATAATTATTAATATTTGGATCCATAATTAAATATCGACAAAATTAATTAAATTTTAGAATTTATAAATTAGATTTCGTAATATTCCTATATATTCTATAATTGTAGAAACAAATTAATTATATATATTAAATTTTACAATATATAATTGAGATTTGAACATATTTATTTTAAAAAAATGATAATATTTATTAATATATGGAATTTATAATTAAGATCCGATAAGATATATCGAAATATTAATTTATAATTAATTAATAATAATATCTATTGATATTTAGGATTTATAATTAAATATTAAAAATATCGAATATATTAAAATAAAAAAATAAGGAAAAATAATATTAAATATAAAATTAATATAAAAATTTTAAAGAAATATGTTTTTTTATTTTTAATAAATATATAAATATATATAATATATTTTAATAATTAATTTTTTTATTTAATATAAATATTAATTATTATATAATATTAAATAATATTATATATATTAATTATTATATATATAATTTTATCCGGATTCCTATCCAATTTATTTTTCTTTCCAATAATTAATTCCATGGGGATATTCTAATTAATTATTATTATTTATCAAAATATTATAAAAAAATAATAAATTTGATATAAAATCTAATTAATTTCCAAGAAAACAAATTTTATTTATAAAATTGAAATGGAATTTCATTAATCCATTTAATTATAAATTAAATTATCTCCATACCAGATCACACCCATATACAAACCATAATTTATAATATTATATATAAAAAATATAATTCTAAATTCTATTATCATTATAATCCCGAAAGCTTTCGGGTATGCCAATGGTTATATTTCAATTAATGAATATAATTTAATTTGTTTTTGTCCGATTAATTATAATTTTAATTATAATATAATATATTAATTTATATATTTAAAATAATTATATCCAAGGATTTCTAAACAAAATAATTTATTTCATGTGATCCCCACCATATCATTTATACATTTTATTATTGACAAATCTTCTGGTATTTTATCAAATATATCTTTTGATATCCTATCTGGCATTCTATCTGGTATATCTTCTGACATTCCACCTGGCATATCTTCTAATATATATTTTGATATATTTTCTGGTATTTTATTTGGTATATCTTCTGGCATATTATCTGGCAAATCTTCTGGTATTCCATCTGGTAAATATTCTGGTTGATTATTTGGTATATTTTCTGGCATTTTCTGACATTTTATCTGATATTCTATCTGGCATATCTTCTGATATTTTATCTGGCATATCTTCTGGTATTCTATCTAACATATTTTCCGACATTTTATTTGGCATATTTTATGGCATTTTATCTGGCATATTTTCCGGTATTCTATTTGATATTCTATCTGGTATCTTTTCTGGCATTCTATCTGGCCGTTGAGGTCCAGCGGTGCACACTGAGCTGGGCAGGTCCCAGGTTGAGGTCCAGCGGTGCACACTGAGCTGGTCCCTTGCAGTGGATGATCCAGACAATACTGACTCTGACACAGAGGTAATCAGCCGACCAGCAACGGAGCAACCTCCTGGAGATACCTCCTTTATTGGGAAAGGCACGGAATATTTCGATGTCCAAGAAGATGCCTTTTATTTCCAGGCCAAAGCAGAAGGTCCCAGGTTGAGGTCCAACGGTGCACACTGAGCTGGGAAGGTCCCAGGTTGAGGTCCAGCGGTGTACACTGAGCTGGGCAGGTCCCAGGTTGAGGTCCAGCGGTAAACACTGAGCTGGGAAGGTCCCAGGTTGAGCGGTGTTTACTGAGGTCGGACGTTGGCGAAGAGCTTGACGAAGAATTGGCAAGGCAACAGTGGACATAGAAATGGAGGCAGAGGTGGTGGAGATACTGGTGGAGGAGGAGCAGGAGGAGCAGGAGGAGCAGGAGGAGCAGGAGGAGCAGGAGGAGCAGGAGGAGCCGGAGGAGCAGGAGGAGCCGGAGGAGCAGGAGGAGCAGGAGGAGCAGGAGGAGCAGGAGGAACAGGAGTCCAGGAGGGGAACAATTATGATAAAATCTAACAATCCTTACCTGGCAGGTGGGAAATTAAAGGTCCTGTAATTCATGATTTTTTAGAATTTTTCCCAAATATTCCCCCCTATTATTCTCATATCCCAAATTCCTCATTATATATATATATATTATTATTAAATAATTTCAATTATAATATATTATTATTTATAAAATAATCCAATATTATTTATTATCAAATAAAAATATTATATATATATATTTATATATATTTTTTTAATATAAAAATTTCTCTAGATAAGAATATTTATATATATAAATTAATTTATGAAAAAAAAAAAAAATATAATATTATTTGACTATAGATATATATTTATATAAATTATATTATCAACAAAAATCCAAATTCAAATAATTGATATTATTCATATCATTATTAATAATAATATATAGAGGAATCGTAAAGTATTATTTTAATTATTTTAATTTTTTTTTTAAAAAAAATATAATAAATTATTTATTTCGAATAAATATCATTAAATAATATTTTTTAAGATTCCATTTGATATTCATATTTTATCTCAATTATTTTTTAAAATTCTTTGGAATATTTTATCGGATATATCGGAGGTATCATTTTGATCCATTATATATGATTTGGATCCGACAGGAATTATTCCGATCCAGAGATTATTATTTACCTAATTCCGGCAGGGAATATTGCAATCTAGAGTGTGTAATTGTTATTCTTATTATTAATGATATTGTGGTCCGGGTTATAATTATTTTTTTTCTTATTATTATTGTTGTTGTTATTATTCTTAGGTGTCGGCCCAAAAGTTCCTTCCAGTGGTACACCGGACCTAGCAAATGCTTGGGCGGGGTTGCTGACTTAGGGATTTGTTCCCACCTTCCTTGGTTGGCTCCTCACCTTTCGTGCAGCCATGGATCTGACACTGGAAACAGACATCTTACGAGCAATTGATGGGGCACATGTTTCGGTGATGTGTGAAACAGCTTTCAGATTCCCAGGAGTTTCAGTTTGCTGCTCAACAATTCATAGAGCTACCTTTTTCACTTCGGTTGATTTGAATCCAGCTCTTGGTTCAGCAGTACTTCTCAATTTCCAGAAGCGTACCATTGGTGGCAAAATCTGGTTGGAACCTTCAGATGGGTCTCATTTCTTCCGAAGGCAAAACCCAGATCTCACGAAGCAATTGACTATGATTGAGACGTGTGCAGGGATTGGAGCAATGGGAGTGGGATTCAGCCAATGTGGCATTGACACGGCATGCTACAATGATTACAACCCCAATTTTTGCCAATAGCTCCGCACCAAGACAAATGTTCCGGTAGTTGAGGGCAACATGACCAGCCCCAGCACGATCCATGCAATGCACTGTGCAGCACCCAGTGCACAGTTCATTTCCGGTGGTGTGGCTTGTCAACCCTTTTCAGCTTTGGGAGACCAATTGGAACAACATGATCAGCGCAGTGAATCATTCACAGGTTTGCTTACCATGGCATACTTTTTCAAAAGCTTGGTGATTTTCATGGAATATACCAAAGAAGCACTCCAATCAACATGGGCTCAAGAAACGTTGAACAAGTTTTGCCTTCAAACTGGCTACATGTGTCAACAGGGGTTGTTGCAGCTTCACCAGATTTGGCCTGCTTACCGCACCCGATGGTGGGCAGTACTGTTCCATCCAAGCCTGCATGTACAGAGCATTCCGCCTGTTCCAAAGATGCATTTCGAGCCGAGCATTGTCCACTTATTGCCATGCCTGATGCAATTGACTCCAGAAGAAATCGCACAGCTTGAACTGAGCATCCACGAAACTGCAATGTTCAGCGCCCAACCCAAAGGAATTCTAGGGAGTGTGATTGACTTATTCAAACCGATGCCAACAGCAACCCATTCCTGGGGAAACCAATGCCAAGGTTGTGCTTGCGGCTGTCGATCAGAAGGATTTGCAGCATCACGCCTTCGACAAAAAGGCCTGTATGGCCTCCTAGTTCCTATGGGGGGGGAAATTCTTTCCAATCAATTGCGTTTTTTAGCCATGAGACATTTGCATCCGCAAGAAGTGGCAATCCTGTGTGGGTTGTTTCCAAGTCATGTTTCCCCACATGCAGCCATTCCATTGAAGTTGGACCTTGCAGGAGTAGGACAACTGGCATCCCCCATCCAATCCACGTGGATTTGTGCCCAAGTCATGCATGCAATGGGGATACAAGGTTTGGTGGATCCCCAACCAACACCACACCAAAGATTGGGGAACCTGTTGAAAGCTTTGCTTCAAGAAAGAGACCAGTTGGTTAAAAGAGATACTCCTACCACATCCATGCAACTGTTCACGCAGGGTTTAGAAAGCATGTTTGGGGATTTTTCCGCAGAAGAGTCACTCACCCAAGAACTTGCCCGCACGATTGATCACTTCGACGCCCAGGATGACAGGTCAGAAAAGGATCAGGCTGTCGAACCGAATGCATCACCGGTGAGGCCTCCAGGGCCAGAGCATCCGAGCATGTCTTGGGAAGGATTTGGCCGAGTCCCAGCATCCGAGCACCAAATGAGTGAAGCCAATTCTAGTGCATCCGCTGTACAGAGAAGATCAGCCGAAGCTGACCATGCATCCGTGCCATCATGTCCAGGTTTGTCAGTCAGGTCAGCCAAGGGTCCCATCCGGTCAATGTCCAGTCCCCAGGAGTTGCATCATGTACCAAGTCATGAACCCTCCCATGAGACTTTTCATGCCATGCCACCTCTCCCAGTAGAGGCAGGCCCCACCCATCCCCATGCAAAAGCAGAAATACCCGACCATGCACACAGTGCTGACTTTTCAGCACGAACCATAGGTTCTCCGGCCATGACACGCGTCCACCAAGGCAGTGACGATCACAGACAAATCCAAAGCATTGTCAGGCATGTCGACCAAGCCAGCATGAGCAAAGATGAAGGCTCCCAGACCAGTGGGAGAGAGCAAAGCAATCTCCACCACCAGAACCCCAAGCCTAGCTTAGCTGCAGTTCCCGCCCATGTCCCTTTTCATGCCAAGCCCCATCTCCCAGAAGATGAGGGCCCCTCCCAGCCCTTTTTCAATGCAACAACACAAGAAGAGAACAGAAACCCAAAACGCAGGCGCATGCACGTAGCCACACAAGAGGCTTACAGTCCAGCTGGAGGTGTTGCAAGTTTTGCAGCCAAAGAGAAGGAGTGTGTCAAGGAGACCAATCCACCTGAGCGTCCGAAAGCAAGGAAGCCACAGGCTTCCGATGCCATGTCAAATGCAGAAGATCCCGTGCCTGCCGTCAGAGCGGAATTGGAACGAGAGCCAGAACCTGAGGCCAGTATTCCAGAGCATCCGAAACATGAGCTGCCAAATGCCACAGGAGTCAAACATGAGGAGGCCAAGCCAAAGTCAGTCATCACAGTCCTCGTTGGCATGATTCATGGTAACGTGCATGAAGTACAGGTAGTCAAAGGCACCACCGTAGGGCAACTTGTCTTAGCTGAAGGTAGAATGATCGATGAGAGTGTCACATGGAGACCGACGAATGCGATGGGCCTCCCAGTACCCATTGCAAGTTTGCTTGACCAGGATGATGTCGTTTTCTTGAGCGACATAGCACACCCGTTGCCAGTCATCAAATTTCATGAACATCAGTTTGCATGCGGATGCCCTGACAAGCAGGACCGGCTTCATATCCTATGGAACCAACAAGGCTGGGTCGCGACTGATGAGATGACCTTCTACCTTCGACTGTTGCAAGACTGGGGATTACCAACAGCACCGCCAATTGTAGCTTACAATTGTTGTGACCTCAATAATTCATTGGCAGAATGGGTACTCACAGTCATAGAAAAGGCACACCAAGCACAGAAACAGGTCACCATGCGCACAGCCATACTGTTGAATCAACACTGGACACTGGTCATGATCCAAGCTTCACCTGAAGCACTGGCCATCCACACGACACCTGCAGGTCAGGAGTTACTCCAGACATTGCCAGACATCGTATCTTTTGATGAAGCAGAATGGCATTGTGACACGGTAAGGTCCAAGTTTCCTTTTGACTGCGGGTTCCAAGCATTTGCCTGGCTTCAGGGGTATGCGTCCGGAGGCATTGCAATGCCCATGTCAGTCATCCAAGCCACAGCCATGCGACATGAGTTTGCCAAGCACTGCCTTCATCAGGATGTCACTTTTCCGTTTGCATTGGGGGGAGTACAGGATGACAAGCATGTTCCAGCCTTGCAAGCTTTGGTCGAGACACATGGAGTTTCTCCACTAAGGTCGCAGTCGGTAGCAATGCACTTGATCGCAGTCTTAGGTAGTCAAAGCATTGGCCACACGTTGCAAGCCCCAAAGCCATGGAAAGACTTGAAGACAAAAGCCAACATGCAGAAGCCACCAATCCAGATCGTCCTCACAGATGAACTGCAAGCAGCAGTGGCTGACAGAGTCAAGCATGGACAAGTGATTGGCAAGCGCAACAACCGCAAAACTGTTGCTCAGGCCAAGGCTCCTATCGTCCTACGAGCCGACAAGATAGCAGTCCCCGATGCCATTTTCCAGCAGAGTGATGGTGTACAGATCGGACAGCTCACAGTGCATCAAATCCAAAGCAATGCCAAAGGTGTAGTAGTAGTCAATGTACAGGATGCACTGTCGTTCTTCCAACTCAATGAACCAGTCAGCTCGGAAGGCGTTACCTTATTGATCCTGGATCACCAAGATGACCGCATTCCTGATCATAAGCAAATTGTCAAGTTTCCAGCTCACTTCTGTGACACTGATGAGCCCATCTTGGTCACGGCAGCTATGTTGCAGATTGGAAGCAAACCAGTGCAGAGACATCGCCCTGACACTTGCGTGAAAATTGATGAAATTCCGACTCAGGTTGTACGTCTGCTGACCTACCGTGACCAAGCCAAAATAGACTGGGCCTCAATCGTGGAAGGGCCAATGAAAGCACTCCTTACATTGGAGAATCTGGCATTCCTAGAGCAAGACCAAATCTTGGACATATGGGATCGTCAATATCTGGACAAGTCCTTCAAGAAAACGCCAGCAAAAGATGCCTACCTTTTTGCCGCCACACTCCGATTGAAAACAGGAGCTGCCCAAGAGCTCTTGGCATTGAGCGGCAAAAATGGACTTTACAATGAGCCGAGGACAGACAATGGAAGAGCACCAGACTCCACTTTCAGAGTCATTTGGCTGCCCAGGAAAACTTTTGCCGAAGCCACTCTCATCAACCAAACAACCCATCAGAAGTCCTGGCTCGTGCGAAGTGGAGACCGACTTGGCTTGCGTGTCAAAGAAGAGGATGCATCCGATGTCCATATGCAACACCGCCCAGAAGTTAGCTACTTAGATGGTACAACAGTGATGGAGTACAAAGTGGGGCCACTGCCATGGGGTACGACAAAAGTGGGCCTTCAAAAGGCATTCAAACAATGGCAATGGCCAGCAAGGCCGGGGCAACCACAAGGCCAATCCAATGATGGGGTATTTTGGTCAGCGCAAGCTACACAGCACCCATCCCACTGGGTCTTCACCATGGCGCATGGAGATGTCCTGATATCCCATAAGGATCCCTTGAAAGCTGCAAAGACCAACAAAGAGAGCTCAGTGATTGCATCGACCAAGACCCTGAAACAAATGGCCACTCCTATGAAAAAAGTGGTTGACCAAGGCAACACAGATCCATGGCTGAATTTGACCAATGATCCGTGGGCACAAGCCCCAACCAAAGCCCCCACACAGGCTCTGACATCCGCCCAAATTGCACAGATGCAGTCTACCATCGAACAGAACATTCGAGATACGCTTGCCCCAATGGAAGATGCAGCGATGGACGGAGCTACCGACTCCCGAGTGTCAGCCTTGGAAGAGCAAGTGAAACAGCTCACCACCAGTGTGGGCCAATTGACTGGTAATATGCATACATTGCACAATCAGCAACAGCAATTGGGCACTCAGGTCCACAAGATGCAGACTCACATGGACCATCAACATGCATCGCTGCAATCGATGATTGATGGAAAGCTTGAAGCGCAGATGAGCCACATCGAGGCTTTGTTTTCCAAGCGTGCCAAGACAGCAGAGTGACAGGGGCGCAAAGCCCGACACATATGTGCATGTCTGAACACCGAGCTCTCTAATTCACAAGTTTGGCACATCCGAGTGGATTCCATTTTGTTCCGCCAAGGGGAAGCGACCAACCCCGGCCCATGCGAAGACAAACCAGGTTTGGTCATTGGGTCTATCAACCCAACCGGGTTGATGCACAAAAGTGCCTTTTTCTCAGAACTCCCTGCTAGCGAACATGCTATTTGGGGTGCATCCGAAACGCATTTGACACAACAAGGTGTCAACAAATTCAAAGCTGAACTTAAGTTCAACAAAAGCGAATTCAATTTTTATCCTGGGGCCCCAGTTCCCCATTTATCATCAGCTCCTAGTTCACTCGGTGGAAAGAAAACAGGGGTAGGTTTTTTCGCTACGATGCCAACCAAGCCAATTGCCAATTCTTGGCCAAAAGAGATACAAACATCTTGTCGCTTATTGTCCCACACTTTCAGGTACTGCGATCAATGGATCCATGGATCCGTCTTCTATGGCCCTGCAAAGGGTGCCGAAACAGCTGCAGTTCGAGCCGAAGCGGATAACATGTTATTCCATGTAACCCAACAACTTGTTTTTGGTCTCCAAGGCAAAAGGTTCATTTTAGGTGATTTTAATCAGTTACATGGCCAATTGCCGCAAACAGAAATTTGGACCAAACAAGGGTGGCGTGAAATACAGGATCTTGAAATGTGCCGGACTGGCAAACAGCCACAAAACACATGCAAAAATAGCACCAGGAAAAACTTTGTTTGGATCAGCCCTGAGCTACAAGCCTTTTGGGAATCCACCGGGGTAGAAAATTTGGCGTTCAAAGACCATGCTGCTCTTTACGCTAGGTTCAAGCCTTTTGGTAAACCCGAGAAAGTGCCACTTTGGAGGAAGCCCAAACCTATTCCTTGGAAGAAGCTAAAAGGAGATATGCCGGTAGGTACTTTTGTTTTCAGACCAGAAAATGCTGACACCTTCTGTTTAAATTTGGCACACGAGTTTGAACAACGGGCACATGCCATGTCCCTCAGATCCACGGATCAGCCATTACACGCGTGCCAGAGAGGACGCTCCGCTACCAGCTCCACGATTCTGGTCCCGGAATCCCAGTGCCTGCTTAAACCGGGCAGACAAGGAGACCTCCAGCCGCAATTCCATGGCACCCATGCCACTTATAAAAGATGGTTTAAACAATTGAGGAGGTTAGAAGCTTTTGCAAGAAGCACTCATGCCAATCATAACCTTTCCCCAAATAAGATAATCCATGTAACCAGAGAGTGGAGAGCCATTTTGAATGCACCAGGTTTCCCGAAGGGTTTCCAACTGTGGTGGGCATGTCGCCCACACAGATACCCAGGGGTCCCATATGACCTACCCAATAGTCCCTTGCCGGCAGACCAAGCAGCCTTGCTTTGTCAAACTTTTGAAACTGAAGTGCGTGCACTTGAAGAGGTCTTGATCCAAGAGCTGAAAGCCAAAGCCCGAGCGTCCCATGAGGACAATCCCAACAAAGTCTTCAGGGATATGCAGAAGCCACAGGTGCCACCAATCCAAATGCTTACTGATATCTCTACAACCACGGTCACAGCAGTGGAGCCTGACGAGCAAGCCTTTTGTTTTGATGTGCCAGCCCATTTTGACCCAGAAAAGTCACTCTTGACACCACACGGTCCCATGAAAGCCATTGTAGTCGAAGAGGATAAAATTTGGGTTGAAAACCTTAATAACCTTCAGCCAGGAGATGAAGTCACCCAAGAAACCCATATAGGAGACCTCACCAGCCTGTTTGATCGTTTTGGGGATGATTGGGCTGCCCGTTGGGACAAACACAGACACACCCCAGAGGCCTTCTGGGGCCCATTGCTTGAGTTCATTGACATGGCCATACCAGCGCATGAGCCCATGAGGTATGAACACATCACTGCAGACCAAATACGACAGGTGATTAAAAGCAAAAAGCCCACGGCGGCAGCTGGACCAGATGGATGGAGTAGGCAAGACATACTGAGAATGGCGCCTGACCTTCTCCAGTCGATTGCCGACCTTTTCCACTGGATAGAAAATGGACACCCATGGCCACTTTCTTTAGTAACAGGGGTTATCCACGCACTTGAAAAGAAAGCAGGAGCATCCCAGGTGAAACACTTTCGTCCCATAACGATATTTTCCCTCATATATCGTGCGTGGAGTTCCGTGCGTTCCAGGCAAATCTTAGCTTTCTTGACAGACCAGGTCCCACTGAAGTGTTTTGGAAATGTCCCCAAGAAAACAGCCAAAGATGTGTGGTTTGGAATCCAAAGACAAATTGAAGACCACTACTTTGACAATAAACCTTTGACAGGTTGCATGCTTGACTTGGTTAAAGCCTTTAACCACTTACCCCGCCTTCCAGTCATGAAAGCAGGTGTCACCCTGGGAATTGCACCACAAATTTTGCAAGCCTGGACTTCAGCCCTGCATGTCATGGAACGCCGGTTCTATATCCGAGGGGCCACAGGGCCACCTTTGAGATCATGCAGTGGCTTCCCTGAGGGGTGCGGCATGTCAGTAGTGGGTATGATGCTAATCAATGTCATCACAGACCGATGGCTCCAAGTGCGAGTCCCCAGGTGCACCCTTTGGAGTTATGTTGACAACCTGGAAATCACAGCCTCCAATGCAGACGAAGTGCAACAGGGCTACGCTGAACTGTCCAAAGTGTTAAATATGCTGGATATCCCAATAGATACGGAGAAAACAATCTTTTGGTCCACACAGCCAAAAGAAAGAAAAACGCTAAGAGAAACTGAGTCGTCGGTAGTTTTTTGGACCAGAGACCTAGGTGGTCACGTTCAATACTCCCAACAAATGACCAACTCTATCGTGACAGGTAAGATTTCCAGTTTCCAACCTAGATGGAAAGTTCTTGCAGCGTCCAAAGCCAGCTATCGCCGTAAATTGCACGCAATCAAAGCTTTGGCATGGCCCAACATGCTGCACGGGATTGCATCAGCCTTTGTCGGAGCCAACCATTTTGATGACCTCCGTACAGCAGCCTTGCGAGCCTTGGGGGAACATAGACCAGGTACGTCTCCAGTCCTCCATCTTTCGATGGTGTGTCATCCGTCATCCGACCCCGGGTTTTATGCCATATGGATCACGCTGCTTGAAACTAGAAAATACATCTCAGTGGAAGCAGCCAGTCCAATTTTAACAGAAGCCAGCAAGTCTTCTCGTCTCCATCTAGGTCCAGGCCCTTGTCACCTTTTGCTTAGGCGTATGCATCAGTTACATTGGCACTGGCATCCCATGGGGAAGTTTATAGATGAGCATGGGGAGCAGATTGACATATGGCATGCACCAATACAAGAGCTACAACAGAGAGCATGTGAAGCGTGGCAAACACAGATAGCTGGCACAATAGCGGCACGAAAAACCTTTACTGGCATGCAACACACACATGCCATGCTGAGTAACAGAAAGCAACCGTACGATCACATGGACCGAAGCCTCCTCAGAACAGTTATGAACGGCACCTTTTACACCGCAGATCATCTGCCCAAAAGAGATGAGAGCCTATCATCTAGATGTCCATTTTGCGGAGAGGAAGACTCAGTTTTCCACCGTAACTGGCAGTGCCAAGCCCTTGAAGAGGCCAGAATGGAATGCCCGATGGATGTGCGAACTCAGATCTTGAATCAGCCGCCAGCCTTTTTCAATCATGGATGGGTTCCAGCGCCTCCTACACTGCAGGCATACCGTAAAAAGCTAGACGCCATTCCCAACACACCCATACAAAATGCAGAGGTGCACCTGCCAAAAGGTACACTCGACTTTTTCACTGATGGAACGTGTTGGGGACCCAGGGATGCACTAACTCGCCTAGCGACTTGGGGGGTAGTTGTAGCAACTCCACATATAACCAGTGACTTTTCGCCAATTGATTCAGGGTTGTTACCAGGAAGATATCAGTCAGTCACTCGAGCGGAGTTATATGCAGCAATACAGGCCCTTCTTTTTGCGCGCCGTCAACAGCAGCCTTTTCGCATTTGGGTGGATAACCAATTTGTAGTGAGAAGACTCCGATCCTTTATAACCAATGTTTCCATTGAGATCAATGTCAACAAACCAAATCACGACCTTTTGCAACAACTGCTGGAAGTGGTGCAACATACCAAACATCTTTGTCGAGGGGTCATTAAAGTATACAGCCATCAAGCACAAAACACTGCAACTGACCCGGTCGATAGATGGGCGTTTTGTGGTAACCAGGCAGCAGATGAATTGGCCACTCATGAGTTTTACAATCATCCAGAT